TTTTGTCGGTGATATACGGGGCATTACAGGTATACGCGGTGCACCAAGATAATCGACCCCCGCACATATTCTTTATGATGCTCTAAGATGAATTTTCCCTTGCTAAAATTGTAATCATAATGCAGAGTTACAATTTGTATAGTTACACAATTACCGTTTCCGGGATCAATCATGGTTATTTAGGTAGTTACAAGATTATACATCATTGAAAATTTTAAAAAATGAAAATATGATTGAACTTCAAGAGGGATATAGTTAAAGTAATTATTATTTTTCATAAATCAAATTCAGTTAAATTTAATGAAATTTCTGTTTATATATTATAAATATATTTTTAATTAGCTTTAGGTTAATATATGAAAATATGTTATCAATAAAAATAAAAAATAATAAATTACTAAAATATTAAGAATTAAAAAAGAATACAGACAATGCCAATTCTTCCAAATAAGTACTTTTGAAATCATGTAACTTATGAATATGCATTAGTACCGAGTTAATATCGAAAACAAAACGCATTAACTATCTTAAATCTTCGTTCAAAACTAAATAATTCCTTTACTTGTTTGTTGTTAATAATTAGTTCAACAAGTGCATCTTTTAATAAAAAAACCTGAATATGCATTATCGAATTAATATCGAAAACAAGACATCCTACTATGCATCAATCAATTCTAAATCTTCGTTCAAGATTAACGCTTCACAAATAATTCCAGCACTTATTTATTATTTAGCTGCTAATAGGTGCATCCTTCTCATTAATCCTTGCAATCAAGTATCGACGAAAAGATTCTATCAGTTATATCGTGAAACTTATAATTCGCTTATAATTCATGACGCCACTCTGTCATCACAGAGACGGGTAATTTTTATAAAACGCGCGTCGTATGTCGTGGCGTCAATTATGTCAAACGTAAGCCTCTTACGTCTACATATCCGAATGAAAAGTTGACTTCGTACATATCCGAACGATGACCGGAGAAATATGTTTGTATATGTGTGCGAATGTGAATATGTGCGCACGAAGAGAGAGAGATTCGCCGAGATGTGCCATAATCCGGCGCGGTTACGTTTTTTCTCCCTTTTTTCTCAATGTCCTTCGAGATCTGCGAATCTCGGCGCGACACTCACCGCGCTGAATCTTGTATTACCTGTTGCGATCTTGTACAGATACCTGAACCATCGATGTTCCTCATTGTAAATTTAATCCGTTACTAATACATCCGTCGCTAATACAGGTGCAATGAAGTTTGTAAATCTAAAGGTTTATAATAATAATAATAATACCAGGCACTTTCTCTGTTAAAATACTTAATTTTTATTTAATAACAGAAAGTCGTTAAGGGAAAATAAGTAGCCGGTTGTTCTTGCCATTATCTTATCTTATTATTTGACTAATATTTTTATATTGTTTTACATAAAGCGATCATAATTTTATCTATACCAGTAACTGGATTAAGTTCCGAGCTAGTATGACTACGTCCAAAAGACGTTTAAATCTCTTGAGTCGAATGATTTAGCAAGACCGGTTGAGATTGATTATATTATACGTAATCTCAAAATGTCATGTCAAAATATTATAATATATTTTAAACGGTAGCATATATATATATTCATAATGTCGTAAAGCAGCAAGCATTCTCGAAAAGAATCGTGTGACGTGACGGTGCCTCTCGAAGTTATTCTACAACATCTAGAGCAGCCGCGTAGGCGTTCAGTTCAATTCAAATCTAAAAGGATAGCATGGCAAAAGGAGGAGATATTAAGCGGTATATAACAACATAGAGAACGTTTCAGAATTGATATAAAATGGACGCACAGTGTTTTAAGCATAAAATAATAAGTTTTCGCAGAATTTATACAAAAAAGTATCGAATTTTAATTTTAGAAATTGTAAAAAATACACTCTAATGAGGAAAATAGAGATCGCATTAACTGGAATATTTTAGCACTTATGTTGACTATAATATACAGTCTCGTAAAAATAATTATATTAGGTGTTGGAATTAATTCGTAGCGTTTTTAATGAAAGAATATTATTTATTTCACATGAGCATTAAAAAATACATTAATGAAAGTACTTCCCATCACTTGTAAAACGCTACGAATTAATTCCAACACCTAATAATTATTTTTACGAGAACGTAGTCTTGAAAAATTTTCTCACTTAATTCTTATTATAATTTTTTTCAATTATTTCACACGTAAAAAACTACCTTGTAAGGCGATCCAATCTTCTCGTTACGTATTTTTTATGGCTAAATTATAGTCTACTCTCTCGATTAGAATTAATCAGAATGCAATGTTGTTATTAATAGCGTTATGCGATAAAAGACAGCAAGCGAACGAGCAGCAAGGCCGTTAGCGAGCAGGCGTTCGAGGTTGCAACAACGATTTTCGTCGCAATAAAATATTCCAGAGGGATGTAATTACATCCGATGTCAGTTAATCGCCGACGATCGAAGGCCGCGACGGCAGCGGAACGCTGTCGCTTACCCGCTAATTACGAGCTTCGGTTATTAATTCGAGCGAGTGTGGGGCGTAACTACCCGTTTCCCCGTATTAGATAGCGCCATTAATTAATTATTTTCGCGGGCAGACTTGTCGCATAATGCGTACTAGCTGACACGATTGATGTCCCTGTAAACCTAAACGGAGATTTACATCAACCGGCGAGACCAGGGGGTGTGGCGTAGATCGTAAGTTCATCTCGGATCGACACTAAAGCTTAAGAATTTTTGCAACTTCCTGGCTATATTAGTGCAAACGAAAAGTCTTTATTACCTTTCGCGAACATAGCTTTGACTTAATTTGATGCTCGTTTAATTCACTTTAAATGCGCTCGCGTGTTACAAACTTGTTTCGAGCGCTTGACCTTTTATGATGATCGAGGTTCAAATTGGAATCACTAATGGGATTCTTTAACGTCTTATCGATGATTATTATTATTGTTAAGCAACAATCAAATCTCGATAAAGCGTTAGAGAATCTCACTAGCGACAGCCAATGGCAAGGATCTTGAAAAAAAATACAACTTTCATTGGCTGACCCTAGTTAATGACAATCATAGATAAAACGTTATAGATTCCTGCCTAGCTGGGGTGATATTTTTCACAACAATTCAATGTAAAATTTATACAACAATGTTATTAGACTTTAAGATTCGATTATGGCTCTCTTCGCTTATTTGTGTTATACTTACCTACATATACAGTTGTATACAAGTACAATCGCGAGGTGTAAAAAGGCGTGTATAATGAGTGAGAAGGATTGAGTCGAGAAAAAGAAATATTACTTTAACAGCGTGTAATGCCTCGTTATGGTTTTAAACGGATCTAAATGAAACCATGGAAGCCTTGTTCGTCAACAAAATAACGATAATTGCCTACGCGAGTGCGCGGATGTGAGTTTCCGCTCTCGGTAAAGCAAGACCATCGAGTTGCACGAGAATCGTCTAATTTCACAGTAATTCCATAAACGGATACTATTTTCTTCGATCCACGTTGCGAGAAGACAAATTTCACAATCTGCTCGGGCGTGACGGAATGCGCACTTCGTGTTCATCCATTCAGCTTATTTCCCTGATCGTGACGTGATAATTAAACGGGATCCCTGTATCACGCGATGATCGAACTGATTTCTCGTGACAATAACAAAGTCGCGTGCTCTATTATAATATCTTACGGCAACCACATTTAATTATTTTAAATCACGAAAGATAATCGAAGATTTTATTATATCTTCCTCTCCCTTTTAAATCTATTTTGATTAAATGATTGTCTAATATTAATTGACATACAGACTTTGTTTTAGATTTAAAAATAGAAAATTTTTTTATTATATTTGCTTTATAGAATAAATAAGTTTGATTGTTCCGTATTCGCGTACTATTGTTGGAGAGAGAAGTTTAATGTCAAGCTATATTGGAGAGTCTCCGCACTCTTTGAGCGAATCGCTCGCCGAATTACGTGTCGATTATGCAAAATCCAGTTGTTTCCGAACAGAACACCTGGAATCGGGTATAATCGGGATTCAAGGCTCAAGAAGCTGGCAGTACCTTTTCGCTCCTTCGCCGTGTGTTCCGATTCGTCGCCTTGTCTATTCGAGCCGAGATTCTCTAATTTTGAGATAATTTATGTGCAGATAATTTTCGATTTCGCGATCGCGAGCTGGTCGCTGCATTGTTCGAGTTAAGATCTCCGGCATGTTTAGATCCAACTCAAGCTTAGTTCCAACCTGAAGATTGTCGCGTATTGCGGTGCAGCAACGAGAGACCAGCGGCAAGATTTCCAAGTGTGCGTTTTTTTCTTCCTTCCTTTTGTTGTCCATCGCGATCGTGCCGTCTCGTTTAAAAAAAGATCAATAAATGCGAAATAGGTCAATGTGCGTGCAGTTCTATGTCGATTATTTTACCATTCTGACCTCCGGTCCTAAAAGAGCGAACAAAATCGAAGCGAAGGGCGCCGCTACATTGATAAATAAATTGGCAATACTTAATAGTAACTGAATCAAATAAAAAATTAATTTTCTCTATTAGTTAAGATTTATTTTAATTTAATTTAGATTAATTTCTCTTCTTTTAATTTAAATTTTACATTCTTCTATATGGGGAGAAGTGAAAATCATTTTGATGATTTCGAGAAACAAAAGATTTTTCAACATATTTGTTTCAGTAGACTGTCCAACCAATGACATTAAGTCGATAGGTTAAAAAAATGACATACTACTATTGTTTCCACGCTACTGTTCCTTCCATATATCTGTTATCTAATTTTGTACGTATATGAAAGGATACATTTATTTTTTCAATTTTTTAAGAGAAATTACTGCTAAACTAATTAAATTTACTGTAAAAATCACTTTCTTATTCGAAGTAGCTGCTACATTTCTTGTGGAACGTGAACGGGTTGAGAAACACTTTCAGCGTAGCGAAATGGTTAGGCATTAAGAGGGACCGTGTCAAAATGACACGCTCACCGTAAATTCGCGTTTGTTTTCAGAATGCTGTCCCCGGGACAAGACACGCCGCCCAGTAATTACTCGTCCGGTAATGTCGTCCTCCAAGGTGCGCCCTGCGGTCAGTGCCGAGACTTGTGTCCCGCCGGATACGTGCCACACTTTTGGCGGTGAGTACCATCACGCACTACCATTGCATGCACCTCGTTCGCGACGTTTAGCGTCTTCGTTATTGCAATCCGTATTATTTATCGTTATAAAATAATTTCATCATACATGGATACTCGTATATAATTATGATACGTGATATTAACATTATGCTTTCTCTGTAATTTAAAAAATCTCGAATAAAGCCGACAAAGTAAAAAGAAGCTATCGCTTATAGCTTGGAATTCATCATAAACGGAAGTTGAAACAAAAAATTTCTCAGAGTCTTCGACCTCTCTAACTTATAATTGAATCAAAAATACTACCGTCATTAGTTTAGTTTTTTTCAAAAATGTAAATGTAAAAAAAAACACGAAATAAATCACTTTATACGCAAAAAAGAATACTTAAAAGTCGCTTAACGCGATCGAGGAACGCAGGTACAAATCGTCGATGTAGTGGAAAAAGAGTCTAGTTGTATTAATTGAAATTTTGCTTACATAATTTGAAAATTCAGATAAGTATTAGGTGTATAAATTAATTCTCCTTTTTTGACCAACTTTAACATTTATTTATAAAAACATGAATACAAACTCAATTTTCAAAGTAATCTCCTTCGCTGTTTATACATTTTTTTCTATCTCTCAGGCAATTGCTGGATTCCAGATCGGAAAAATGACGGTGGCTTTGAATTCATCAATGCTTTTTTCGACCTCTTCAACTGACTTGAATCGAGAATCAGTTAGGTGATGTTGTCTGAGGGAGAATTTTCCAGTCTAAATCGGAGATGGTTTCCAGAGTTTTTTTGCTGTATGGGACCGAGTATTATTCCGCAACAGTATCCTTTCTTCTTCCACTGCTAGTAAATGGCCTTTTTTCTTCAAGAACGTCATTTACACGAATTAATTGCTGTTGATAAAGCTCAGCAGTCACGGTCTGACCTCATCGGAGCAACTCATAGTGGATCGCCCTTCTGATCCCACCAAATGTATAGCAACACCTTTTTTGTATGGATGTTCGGTTTTGATAGCTTTGACCTGGATGGACTCATGATTTTCGATTTCTTAGGATTATCGTATAATATCTACTTTTCATTGTAAGTAACAATTTTGTGCAAAAAGTTCTTTTTCTTGAACCTAGAAAGCAAGGAGAGAGCAATATCGTGGAATCTGCTTTTTCGGAAGTGAGGGACTCATCGACATTTCTTGCGAATCCTGCCCAGTTGCTTTAGGCGATAGGAAACGTCTTGCTATGTTATTCCAAGTGCATTTGCAAGTTCCGATTGGCAAGAATTCTCGTCCAAAATGTTCTCCAACTCCTCATCTTCCACTTTTTTTTGGTTGACAAGGCGTTCACGATCCTCAAGATTGAAATTTCCCTCTCGAAACTGTTGGAATCATTTTTTACATGTGCTGCACGATACAGCATTCTCGTCCAAAGCCGAAGAAATCATTTCTTTCGCGTCAGTAGCGTTTTTTTTTAAGTTCAAAACGCGAAAAGAAGATAGTGCCTCAAATGTTGCTTTTCGAACGACATCGTGTTTACTGCTGATATTTCAGATTATGTTCACAGGAAGATGAAGTATTGTACCTCATTTTAAAACTAAAAGATGGCACTTCAAAATGACTATAGAGGGGCGGAGAAATTTTAACTTAAATGATTCTGAGATCGCTGAAAGGTAGAAGCCGAGAATTAATTTGTATATCTAATATAATATAAAATAAGATTTGGATTGTATTTATTACGAAATCTTATATTGGTAATATAATATAAAGCTCAATTAGATTGTATTGTTCGAATAATATTATTATTTTATAATAGATTCTAATATTGATCTGAATTGTTGGTTGGAAATATCGCTCAACATTAATATTTGTATCATTGTTAATATTTCAGTTTAACTTATATTCTACTCGTCATAAATTCAGTATTTTGCAACAATCAATGTATGTAATTACTGAATGGATCGTATGCTGTGCTAGTCCAAAGATTCTCACACCGAATCTTCTGGTTCATTCATTTTCAACCAGAAATTTTTAATCAATACGTAGAGGAATGCACGTACATACATTCGACCACCGCGCTCACAGAATGAAACGGTACGGGTGCCACCCATCGCAATCATTTCTTCGTTTTTGCGCGAAGGAAATGTTTTTTCAACGTCTTATCGATCCGCCCATCACGTGCGCGGTTCTGACCTCAAGATCTTACCCGGGTCAGTCGGTCCGAGTTGAGATCTTTTTGCAGTACGACCTCGGCTCTCCCCTTCCTTTCGACCCAGAGCGGGAAAAATTGTTTCAATCATTTACGAAATACATTGTTATTTAACAAATATAACAAATACTGTAGGTCTCCGATGACACTCACGTGGTATGGTAATCAAATCGCTTATCGGATCACACTCGGATCATTTTCAATGTTAAACATACATATTTATTACAGTCGATAGAAACAAAACATAATAAATTTTTTATTTCGCGTTCTAAAACAGACGCTGGTAACATGAAAAACGAATATCTTATAGGTTTAGTTTTTATGACTCAAGTACTCTAAGGAAGTACGAAGATATGCGATAAATACGTTTTGTATTTATCGCATATCTCTGCCTACCAATTTCTTTTTCAACATTTCCTTTTCCGATACTCTCACGGACTAACACACGTTACTTTGTCGGCTTTATTCGAGATTTTTTTAAATTACAAAGAAAGAAGCGTAATGTTAATAATTACTAATATCACGTATCATAATTATATACAAGTATCCTTGTATAATGAAATTATTTTATAACGATGAATAAAGCAGTTTGCAATAACGAAGACTTAATTTAGAATCAAGATTCTCTAGTTGATCGTTATCATACATCGTAGTTATTCCATCTTACATAAAAGATCAGTAGCTGAGAAACTGAGCGAGGAAAGCTTTCCACATCAATACGAGAATACAGCAGCGATGACGGTTCCATTCGTTCAGTTTATAGGCCTGATAGAAGCGTATGATTAGGTTGTATTAGATAATCGCTGTTGCTGCTTCGCATAATCCGCGAAACTTTAGCATACGAAACACTCGGTTCAATGTTTTTCTTCGCGATCCTGATGTAAGATGAGAATTTTCACGCTTCAACGCTTCACGCTTCAGTAGCGAATCATTGGTTTTCCTAATTGATTTAGGAAAGAAGTGAAAAGTAATTTCTAGCTGAACGCCTAACGGATTGCGCGATGATCTTCGTCCGTGAAAGCACTCCGAACGTGAAACGTTCAATCTGAGCTCGCGCGTCCATGCCAAGTCCGTGGACCGTAGACCTCGTGGACACGCTCGATTCCCCGATCTCAGTGGTTTGTTTCTGATGCGCGCGGCTGACGTCGCGGACCCTCCGCCGATCGTTCGATCAGGTTAACCTTCGAAAGAAATCGAAGGAGGCGCAAAGGAGGCGGTTAGAAGAAGAAGAAGAACCGGGCCGCGTATATAGGGGCGAGTTCTCTTCTCCCCGCGTGGCTCTTTCGCGAGCTCGAAAGAGGGCAAAACGAGCGTTTCTTGGCGTTCTCGGGTCGTAGGGTCGACTCGTCGGTCTCACGCGAGCCCTGCGTGCAACAAGACCGGCGAGGGGGGCCGTTCCAAGACGAATCGGCTGGCAACCGAGGTAACTCACGGCCAGGGGATGGGATGTGGAGGATGCGGGAGCGAGAGAGGGATACGTATGTTGGTCTGTAATTAACATACCGAACCTCCCTTGAACCAGCGCGTCGGGCTCGGTCGACCAGCCGCTCGTTCGTTCGTTCGTTCGTTCGTTCGTTCGTTCGTTCGTTTGCTCCTTCATTCGCAGGGTTGTATGTTCCGTGATTCGCGAAATGTATCTCACCTAGTGGTACCATCCGAGATCCATTATCGCTTTAGAGCGGCACCGACAGATTTCATATCCCCGACTTCCTTCCCGGCCTTTAATATGCGTGGACGAGAGTTTACTCTTTCGCTATTAAATACGAGAGTAGTTTGCTGATGTATGGCATCATCTCTTTGCCTTGTCTGAGAGAATGATTGTGGGCGTTCAATCGGAACTGACGTGAGCCTCGAACAGCTTAACGGTCAGCATTTTATTCTTTATTGATAATGAAAGTAAGCAAATACGGTGCCGACAGAAGCGTGGTCCGTGTGTGTCATGCATTTAACACGGTATTTAGTGGCGTCAAATTAATTATATAAGGTGTTGAATTTTATTTTACTAAGCTTAGAGAATCGTAATAAGCTTTACTAAGCTTATTACGATTCTCGTTATGGTCAAAATGTATTAAGTGTAAAAAGATAATCATATAAAGGAGATATCTTTTTAATAGGGATGCACCGAATATCCGGGAAAGATTGCTGGATATCTGATTTCTGGCAATATATCCGGCTGAAACTTTATATTGAAATGACGTATATAATAGTACGAATACCTGAAAACTTTTTTATTATTAATGATATATTTTTTAGAAATATAGTATTGTGGATATCTGACAAATATTCGGTATCCGGTGGTCGGATATTTGTCAGATATACGATTCTAAAAAAATATATCACATACCTCATAACATACACTCATAACAAACTTCAGGCTAATAAAAACGTAAATAAAAAGTTGCCGGATGGAAAATTTCCAAAGTTTTTTTTAGGAATACTATCTGTGACAGGTTAACATTAAAATATTTGTATACAGAAGTTAATCTTCTTTTAGCATAACATCATTTTTTTTTTAAACCAACAAATTTTTTTTAGCAACTTTTTTAGCAACAAATCAGTAGTAAATAACAATATTACTTAAAATCTGTTTTGCTCATTTTATTTTGCTAATAAAACGTAAACTATACATAATTGTAAGGAGAAATACCACAGATAATTTTATCTTTCATCAATACACAATTTTGTCTTTGCGTGCAACTTGGCTACAGCTGCTTCGACTTGTTAATGTCATTAAGTTTTCTACAAGCTCTAAGAACGGTCACTCGACAGATCCGATAATCATTGGTTATACCGTAGTCATCTTACCTTC